ATCACACCATTGTTGCTGAGATTGAAAAGTGGGCTTTTTTTCCTTTTTTAAAAATATACAAAGTGTAGCTATGGACCACCAAGTTTTAAAGTTTGCTTATTTCTTTCTTAACACTGGGCACAGAATTTCCTTTGTTGCATTTCCATAACATGACTTTCCTTTGTCCAGAAAAACACTAATCAAAGATGACCACAGTTTTTAAGCCCAGTCCTGTATTCTGTTCTTTATCTCAACAGGTAGTTTGCCTGCATCAGAATTAATACAATTTGATCCTTGAATCACAAAGATATTTTTAACATCATCTCAAATGGTAACAAAACTGTAGTCATGTTATTTACCATCTGTATTTTCATGCGTGATACACTGTGTAGAAACCTCATGCTATGAAATCCTGACCAGTCGCAACTCATCAGTTGTTTGGCACCTGACAACATCAAGCCCATTGAACTGGATCTGCTGCTAAATCACAGGAATAATAATGGTCCTAACCAGTTTAGTAAGGAGTTAAGTACGGGCTATTTTTGAAGTATTTTTCAGGCAGCAAACAGTAAGCTGTGGACAATTAACTGCATATACTCAGAAGTACAGATCTACAGCCAAATTTATCACTAACTTGACAGGATATTTCTGCGTTCAAATGACATCATTCACAAGTGCCATATCAACTTTATCATGTCAGAAAGAAGCTAATATCCTGTAAAAGTTACTGAAATGGTTAGCATGAGGGAAGTGCGGTGTATTTGTGCCAAAATTGCTCAGTGCTCTAAGGAATTATGTATTAGGCACTTTAAGAAAAGTTTACATCATACATCGCTTGTATAGAAATTGCATTTTGATCCTATTGCTGCAGGTCCCTGATACTACAGTTCATTGTAACTTAAAGATTGTTTAAATGGCTTTTGGCAAAAAGTTTGTAACTGTGAAAATGTAAAAAGTATTTATACACTTCAAAATCACGGTATTATAGAAAAATCACATACTTGTTGCCACGTGGTAAGATTAGTAAGCAGAAATACTACGAGTATGTTTGCATGTGATACAAATGCCAGTAAGACTATAATGCCTACTATATGACCACAGTCATTCTGCTAGCCAGTAAATACTGAATAAATGTATGGCACAGAATATTGTTTGATTAATTGCAAAGACTTTTATCATAACAAGGTCTCTCTCTATATGTGTGTATATTAATTCCGTGGGCATTCTTGATACTTCTAGTAAAAGAAAGTACATAACTAATTTAATTTTACACAAAAGTATTTATGCAGATTTTCTGAATTTCATATCAGGAATAACCTTTTTATGTCCATTAGATATAAAAACAATTTGCTATGTGTTAATTTGCATGTTTCTAAAGCTTGCTGTAGTTATACTGCAAACAATGCATGTAAGCATTCTGCTTGGAATTTGTCCATGCTGCCAATACAAAAATGACTGCATGGAAAAATGGTAGTTTAGAACAAATCAGATTACTGATTTCAATGTACTAAGCACCAATTAAGTTGTTGTATATGCCTGTACAAATGAATTCTACATATTCCTATAAAGAAACAAAAAGAGATAATTATGTTATTGTCAGTCCTGAGATGAAACTTTCAACTTCTCTAATAAAAATCTTGAAAATCCAAGAACTGTAGTTGTCGCTGTAGTCAATTATAGGGTCATGATGTTATTACTTGAGAATTTTTAATGGCATGTAAAGTATTTCCTGTAAAAATACATATAGTGTAAATACATTTATATCACAGCTTATTATTCAGAAGAGTCTAATTTAATTTGTTTTAAGTGATAGCAGAATTGCACAGTCACAGAATCACAGAAGGTTGAGGTTGGAAGGGACCTCTAGAGATCATCTAGTCCAACCCCCTACTCTAGCAGGGACACCCAGAACACATGGCACAAGGTGGCATCCAGGTGGGTTTGGAAGATCTCCAGAGAAGGACACTCCACAACCTCTCTGGGCAGCCTGTTCCAGGGCTCTATCACCCTCACATTAAAGAAGTTCTTCCTCACATGGAGGTGGGACTTCCTGTGTTTCAATTTGTACCCATTACCCCTTGTCCTGTTGCTGGCCACCACCAAGAAGAGTTTTGGCCCCATTCGCTTTACAACCTCCCCTTATGTATTTGCGTATATTGATAAGATCCCCTCTCAATCTTCTCCAGAATAAACAGGCCCAGCTCGCTTAGTCTTTCCTCATAAGATAGAAGCTCCAGTCCCTTAATCATCTTTGTGGCTCTCCGCTGGACCCTCTCTAGAAGCTCCATGTCCCTCTTGCACTGGGGCTCATGGTTAACCTGTTGTCAACCAGGACTCCCAAATCCCTCTGTGCAGAGCTGCTTTCCAGCAGGTCAACCCCTAAACTGTCCTGGTGCCTGCGGTTATTCCTCTCCAGGTGCAGGACCCTGCACTTGTCCTTGTTGAACCTCATGAGGTTCATCTCCAGGTCCCTCTGAATGGCAGCACAGGCCTCGGGAGTATCGGCAACTGCATCCGGTTTTGCATCTGCTGAGGCTGCACTCTGTGCCCTCGTCCAAGTCATAACAAGCTGAACAGCACTGGGCCCAGTACTGATCCCGGGGGGACACCACTAGCCCCAGGCCTCCAACTAGACTCAGCCCCACTTATCATGACCCTCTGAGCCATCCATCCAGTTCTCAATCCACCCCCACTGTCCACTCATCCGACCTAAGTGTCCAGCCTTCACTTCTGAGCTTCCCTATGTCTATGTAATAGGAGAAGGTGTTAAAAGCCTTGCTGAAGTTAAGGTAGACAACATCCACTGCTCTCCCCTCATCTATCCTTGCAGCACTACACCTGAGTGACTGAAGCATGCAGTGCCTTCAAAAACCACCTAAGCCAGAAGTCAATACAGTATTTAGCTGGTTAACATGAAATTTAAATAGACTTGTGGTGCCTGTCTCCCCTCTGATGCCCCTTGGCTCTTAGAGCACGTCCAGCTCCTTATTAGCCTCTTCCAAAGTGCCTGAAGAGGCTGGTAATGGCAATATTCAAAAAAGCAGGGATGTTTTCTTTCAAAAAAAAAAACTAAAAAATAATCCTTTAAAATACAGATACTAGAGACAGTGCTTTTGTACTATGGCAGTGTTTCTAGCCTAGTAAGAAGTACACAACAGAGCCGCTACTCAGCCTGGTCTGATTCAGGAGACGGTGCTGTGGCAGAAGTGCTGGGACAGGGGCAAGAGGCTTGCAGAAGCACTGAATGTAGCAAGTTCTCTTAGGCTCAGTTAGTTAGAAACCAGAGAAACCAGAAACCTGTCCATGACTCAACTGCAAATGAAAAGCCTGTTTCCCTCGCAGAGGAAAAGCAAGTCTGCTGGTGCTACCTCCCTGGAGAGCGTGCTATCATACATTGGGATGTAAGCTGGTTTGGAAGAGGAAGGAAATAATACCCACAGGTTTTTCTTCCAACATGTGCTGGTGGCTCAGCCGAGACATGGGGATTTATGGAGTTGGAGAGAACTTGCAGAGCGGCAGAGCCAGGCAGCCTCGCTTCCGGGCTCAGCTCCCAGACTGGTACCTGCTTCGTCCTCCAACCATTTAACACTAAATGCAGGCAGTAATTTGAAATTAAATGATGAATTTTGTCAAGTAAGTACTTTGAAATACCTTTTAAGTAGTATTTGATTCAAAAATTATTTGAAGACTGGCTGCTAATAAGCAGCAGGGACAGTTTCCATTGAGACAGAAAGCGCTAATCAATCTGAGCATTATGACCTCGTCGAAGCCATTTAAGATGCTGTTCTTAGCCGGAGTGATGGATCCCTCTTCGCTGCAGTTTCATCAGAGTAAGTAGTAGATCATCCATCTCTTCGGACAAATTTGATGTGGCTCCGACAGAGAGGGCCGTGACACCCAGGCCTCCGCAGCAGCCTCCTACGCTTTCACTTCCAATGATTTGGGGGATTGTCATTAATTGGATTTTTTCCAAGCAAGGATCTATTTAATCCCTATCTTTAACCCTTAATTGCACTTCCGTGCAATTAAGATTACTGCTGGAGACCCAAAATATGCCTGATCAAGGCTGATTTCCTTGCAAATTCCTGGGGATAGGAAGATCAGAAACGAAATGGCGACTAGGGGCTGAATGGTGGTTAAATACTGAGGTTGCCCACAAATGATCTGAAGAAGCCAGACATCAAAGTCACCAGAGAAAGTCTCCAGCCTGGTACAGCCAGAGATCTTCATGTAGACAGTTACAAGGTCTCTCTTTGTAGGTCAGTCCCGTATCAGCACTAGCACAGATTTGACTCTACTTTGGGGAAGGAAAGGCTCCTTACTGTGAACCAGGAGTGGGGGTGGGTGGTGGAAGATCCATAAACATTTCTTGATGATCTACATATTTAAAACCTACAGCAAGCACTGTAAGAGGTAAGAGATTTCAAGAGACTAGATTAAAAAAAAAAAACAGCTTGTTCCTTCAATATCTGTACAGGAGCAGCGAGGAAGCCTTGCAGCTTTTGTAGCCCTCCATCACCCTACCGGAGGGGCTGCAGGCTGGGCCTTGGTGCCTGTGCTGCTCCATAGGGACAAGCTCTCCCCTGAGGACGGGGCCCAGCGAGGGCTCCGCCGTCCTCACCACAGGCCGCGCTGCGGATCCCGGGTCATGCGCGACGCTCCGAGCGCAGCCGCCTCCACGCGGCCCTGCTGCGGCCGCGCTGCGCGCACCTTGCTGCCATGCGCCAGCCTCAAGTGCGCCGGTGGCCTTGCGCGAAAGGCTGCCGGCTTCGCTCCCGACCTTCTTGCTACCCAAAAATAGCGCACATTTCTTCCTAGATTAACGCACAAAGCAGCCGCTCGCCTTCCACGCAATCGCTACCGATGCACGAGCACTGGACTAGATAACCCCTCCTCCATCACAGGCCATGAAACAGCCTGTTTTATGGCTTTCCCGCCTCCCTGGCAGCAGCGGTGGTGCCGGGAGCTGATGGGTTCTGCGGCAGCAGCTGTTGAGCACCACAGTGCAGAGCGAAGGGTGGGCGCCATGGCCTAAAGGACACAAAGGAAGGGGAGAACCCTGGGGGACCTGGCTCAGCTGGATCCTGGAGCCTTCGTTGCTGCCACTGCCTTGGAGTCTCTCCTGGGGCACCCGGCCCCCACTGAGCCCTTCCCCATGCGGGGAACCATCTGGTCAGGCTGTCAGCATGTCATGGGCGGTGGGCGGGAGGGGGGATTATTTGTGTTCCCTCCTCCCCTGCTGCTTCCTGACTTTCCTGGGAGAAGCTGTGAGGCCAGCTGCATCCTCAGCCCATCACCGGGCCTCGGGGCACCCCTGCCTTGCACCTAGGAAACCCGCTGGAGTGGCTGGGGCTTTTCCCTTGGAGGGGAGGCTCTTCAGCAGTGTGCTGTGGGCAGGCCCCAACTGCCCAGCCAGGGAGCCCAGAGCCCAGCCCTTTGCCACAGCCTCTCTGCACTGGGGCACTGCAGCGAGGGGCATCCGCGCACTGCAGCGAGGGGCAGTGGGTACACTGCAGCGAGGGGCAGACCGTGCACTGCAGCGGGGGCAGACTGTGCAATGCAGCGAGGGCAGACTGTGCACTGCAGCGAGGGGCAGACCATGCACTGCAGCGAGGGGCATCCGCGCACTGCAGCGAGGGGCAGTGGGTACACTGCAGCGAGGGGCAGACCGTGCACTGCAGCGGGGGCAGACTGTGCAATGCAGCGAGGGCAGACTGTGCACTGCAGCGAGGGGCAGACCATGCACTGCAGCGAGGGGCATCCGCGCACTGCAGCGAGGGGCAGTGGGTACACTGCAGCGAGGGGCAGACCGTGCACTGCAGCGGGGGCAGACTGTGCAATGCAGCGAGGGCAGACTGTGCACTGCAGCGAGGGGCAGACCATGCACTGCAGCGAGGGGCATCCGCGCACTGCAGCGAGGGGCAGTGGGTACACTGCAGCGAGGGGCAGACCGTGCACTGCAGCGGGGGCAGACTGTGCAATGCAGCGAGGGCAGACTGTGCACTGCAGCGAGGGGCAGACCATGCACTGCAGCGAGGGGCATCCGCGCACTGCAGCGAGGGGCAGTGGGTACACTGCAGCGAGGGGCAGACCGTGCACTGCAGCGGGGGCAGACTGTGCAATGCAGCGAGGGCAGACTGTGCACTGCAGCGAGGGGCAGACCATGCACTGCAGCGAGGGGCATCCGCGCACTGCAGCGAGGGGCAGTGGGTACACTGCAGCGAGGGGCAGACCGTGCACTGCAGCGGGGGCAGACTGTGCAATGCAGCGAGGGCAGACTGTGCACTGCAGCGAGGGGCAGACCATGCACTGCAGCGAGGGGCATCCGCGCACTGCAGCGAGGGGCAGTGGGTACACTGCAGCGAGGGGCAGACCGTGCACTGCAGCGGGGGCAGACTGTGCAATGCAGCGAGGGCAGACTGTGCACTGCAGCGAGGGGCAGACCATGCACTGCAGCGAGGGGCATCCGCGCACTGCAGCGAGGGGCAGTGGGTACACTGCAGCGAGGGGCAGACCGTGCACTGCAGCGGGGGCAGACTGTGCAATGCAGCGAGGGCAGACTGTGCACTGCAGCGAGGGGCAGACCATGCACTGCAGCGAGGGGCATCCGCGCACTGCAGCGAGGGGCAGTGGGTACACTGCAGCGAGGGGCAGACCGTGCACTGCAGCGGGGGCAGACTGTGCAATGCAGCGAGGGCAGACTGTGCACTGCAGCGAGGGGCAGACCATGCACTGCAGCGAGGGGCATCCGCGCACTGCAGCGAGGGGCAGTGGGTACACTGCAGCGAGGGGCAGACCGTGCACTGCAGCGGGGGCAGACTGTGCAATGCAGCGAGGGCAGACTGTGCACTGCAGCGAGGGGCAGACCATGCACTGCAGCGAGGGGCATCCGCGCACTGCAGCGAGGGGCAGTGGGTACACTGCAGCGAGGGGCAGACCGTGCACTGCAGCGGGGGCAGACTGTGGCCGGGCATGGGGCAGCCCAGGGGGTTGTGTGTGGTGCAATATCGGGGGCGGGTGGCATATGGGTCACTCTGCCCTGTCCTCTGGGTGAATCCTGCACCGGGGGCCCCAGGAGTCCAGGAGCAGCGGGGTCAGCAGGGAGCAAGTGCCAGGCAGAAGTGCCGGCTGTGCTGGGATAAGTCAGTGCATATTTCTACCCTCCTTCTTCTTCTTTTTTTTTAGACTTCCTTTATTTTTTCCCCTTCATCCTCCACGATTTTGGGGCAGGGGGTTGCCACTTTTTGCGCACGCACACACCCCCTGCCAGTCCTGCTAGCATCTCCCACCTCCCTGCCCCGCAGCTCCCGCTTGGCCTCTTTGTGTCCCACAGCGGTCTCCTGCCGCTTGTATTGAACAGCTTAAAACAGATTTGCCACCTTCCCTGCGGGATGGGAATTCTGTTATGTTTTTTTGAGATGAATTTTCTTCTCAGTCTCAGTGCTGCGTGCTCATTCCCCAGGCAGCACTGAGTGCAGCAGGCAGCTCTGCCCGCATGGACCGCTTTTGTTTTGCTTCTGCCTCATTTCTCCTCAGAAATGAGGTGTTGTGCTTTGAGAATCCAAAACCTCATTCTTCATTAAGATTTTCAAACCTGGGAAGGCCTCACTCACCTGCTGTCTCTGCTCCTGGGCAGCGGGGAAGCACACAGCCAGCTCGCACCGGCTCTCCGCCTTCGTCACGCCGGCCGGCAAGTCCTACGAGTGCCAGGCACAACAGACCATCACCCTGGTCTCCAGCGACCACCAGAAGTCAGTGGAGCTCCTGCTCTCCGAGGTCCGCGTGCAGCCCTTCGACATCAGCGCCGATTTTGTCTTCAGTGAAGGTGAGCTCTGAGGCTCCTCTCAGGTTTCTTGGATGTTTCGGGTGGCAGAAAACGTGAGTTAGCGCTTGCCGCCCTCATTGAAACGGCGCAGCCAGGGTCTTGTGGCCACACTCACTTGGATGGTGCAGGGATTTCGGCGGTGGCGTTTGCATGTGGTTGGGGCTGGCTCGCTCCCTGGATAGGACCGAACTCGTCCTGCACCACGTATTGCTGTGTTTTCCCGGGGAATTGCTGGCACGGTGTGGCGGGATACGCGGCGTTCACCTGCGCACTGCCTCGGCGTGAATGTGTGAACCTGTCTGCATCAAGAATAGTCTCCTTCTGAGATAGTGTGTTTTTAGGAGAGATTAATTATTAACTAACTCCACTATTATTGCCCCAAAAATATGGGAATAAAATACATAATTACCAAATTTTTCAATAACAGACCAGAAAATCGTAGTGTTGTTTTTGCATCCAGCATTAAAAAGACTGGGTTCCTTTTTTTAATTTGTTTTTTATTTTGCATGTGGGAACTACTTTAGACAGCAATAAGAAATGAGCACTTACTTACTACAGAGATGAGCACTTACTCTCATGACTCACATAGCTCTAAAAGGGAGGTAGTAAATATACACTGTTATATATATGCTATGTACCCAGCTCTGGCGATGCTGAATTCTTCATGGCGAAGCCTGTACACAGCAGTGATTCGCCATCCCCTTTGTGGGTCATTAATTCTCCATTAGGCAAAATGCCTATTAATTATGAGCAGGCTACGTAGCATTTTAAAATGTTTTAGAGCGGACAAAGAGACTGCCTTGAGGTCAGGGAGCCAGAGAGAGGAGGAGAGGCTTTTACCACAGAGACACAGCAGGGAAAGGTGTCCACATTGGACCTGGCCTCTTCCCGCCTGGAATAACTGAAAAATTGCAGGAACGATTGGTTTCTTTTTAAGGGTGCTGCCATGTATTTTTGTCGAGACATTGCTTCCAATCGCCACAAGTATTTTTTCTGATTTGTTCCAGTGCGACAGCAGCAGGACTTTTTTTTTTTCTTTCATTCAAAGCTCGCAAAAAAAACCCCCATGTTTTTGCAAAAAAAAATATTTGGGCACATTTTTCAATTTAAGAAATTGGGGAAAAAGCAAACTGAAGCAGGAGACCAGTCGAATGAGGAAAAGGCCCCTGCAGACCCTGCCAGCTCTCGGGATCCCAGTCAAAGAGAGACATGGGGCCGTAAGGCTGAGTATTGACCACCCGCCGCTTGGGTGGTCTTGCCTCCTGCCGAGCCACTCCAGGGTCCTCCACACCAAACAGCTCCTCGCTGCAAGCTGCATGACCAGGCTTTAAAAAGCATCCAATCTGATCTTTTCCCTCTTTTTTCCATTTTTGTTAAGTTGGTCATTCCCTCTCTGAGAAACCGGGGGTGGTTGTGGTCGGACTTGCTGTGTCGCAGTGCTGCAGACCTCAGCGCCTGTAAAGTGCTCAGAGTCCTTGGGGTGGAAAATGCTGTGTGAACAGCTAATTATCATCATTTTCTCTCTCTGTGGGTCAGTGTATGTTGGCGCAGGGCATGTATCCGTGCTTTCCTGCCTGGTCCAATTCCCAGTGTGTCCTGAGATGGGTTGGGACTGCGGTGCCCACCAGGAGGGCTTCCCCATGAACCCTTTCCCGCTGTCTTTATTGCTGTTATTGCTTTAATCCTCTGTAAGAAGTGTTGGAATAAGGAAATACCTTCCCAACTGCTTGCAAGAACTGATGCATTTCCAAGCTGCACCTCAGCACTTGCACATGGCTGTGGCTTTATGTGGACAAGGCAGGTCTGGCCATGTCTGCTAAAAAGTGCGATCTGTGCTCAGCAGCCCAGGGGTTTTGGGCACGAAAAGTAAAGACACTTCAAATAACACATGTTTACGTGTTGGAGTCCAGGCTCTTGTTTATGGAAAGGTGCAAACTCTCTCTGCTTTAACTGGGGCTTGCATGTAGCAGCGGTATATTCGCTTTGGTTTAAATCAGCCTTGTTTCAGTGGGATTTAGCCTAAAGAGCAACATGAGTGTCCCCAGGACTGTTTTTGTGTTGAGGTCCTGATGCCCAGGTACCCTCAGGTGCCCTGAGGAGCCCATCCAGGGCTCCCCGCAGCCGGAGTTGCCCTGGAGCTGCTGTGCCCATGCTGCGGTGCTACGAGGCTGCTCAGGGCTTAATAGCCAAAACGTCAGAGAATGCCATAAAGCTCTGGGAAGTGAATTTTGGGAGCTCAATAACAACCAGGATGGGCTTTTTGGAGCAGACTCCCTGCCGCATCGGGGGGAGCCGCAGCCGCTGCCGGCCGTGCCCGGTGGGGCCGGTCTTCAGGCCCAGGGGATGAGCGTTACCCTGCGTGTGGTTGCCTGACTTGCTTTCTGGTACCTCCTGCCTCTTTCGGACACTCGGCCGAGCTTTGCCTGGGATGGTCCACGGCAGGAGCCCCCCAGGGCAGCGGGAGGCGTCCGTCGGCGCAGCGTCAGCACTGGCTGACCACGGCTTGGCACAGAGGTGGGAGCAACACGTTAGAGCTGAGGCAGATAGGGGAGGGGAAAACGTGTTTTAGGGAAGGCTTGAAGAGGTACCCATGGGCCTCGTAGTTCCCCCCCGGGGCAGCAGCTGTCTTGGTAACAGGTACCTCCCGCCCCCACCAACGTGGTCTCTGGACGGTGACTGCAGGCGCTTTCAAAGCTCCTGGTTGTGTCCCGGGGGCTCCCATGGTGGCTGCTTTGCCCATTCTCTGTGGAGGTGGATTTGCTCTGCAGGGATCCCGGAGCAGGGCTGGGGTTCATCCCATGCAGTTGCTTTGGGAAGGCTGTTCTGTACATTTGAAACATCCTGTTGTTCACTCCTGTCTCTGTTCCCTTTCCTTTCTCTCCTTGCAGAACATAAATGCCCAGTGGACCAGCGGGAACAGCTGGAAGAAACTCTGCCTCTGATTCTGGGCCTGATCCTGGGGCTGGTGATCGTGATAACCCTCTGCGTGTACCATGTCCACCACAAACTGACAGCCAGCCAAGTGCAGATACCTCGAGACAGATCTCAGTACAAACACATGGGATAGGTGGCAGGACCGAGCAGCCCAAACGTTGATCAGGTACATAAAGCAAAAGCACTTTTTTCTATGGGTGAGAAAGCACTATTGGAGCAAGAGGGGGTATTCACAGCACCTGATCCAAGGTATTTCGTGGACATGTGCAGTTACAGCTGGGCTCCAGGATGGGCAGTGGAGAGACCCTCCACTTCCACAAGATGACTTAGAGCATCTCATTTCTGGAGTCTGGCCTTTTTGCCTGTGGAAGCGGGTGGTTTGAATACCTTCCTAGAGCTGCTGCACTGGTCACACGAGAGCAGAAATATTTCACATGTCACAACACCAGGGCAAAATTAGCTTTCCAAGGGACTTGCCAAGGTCCCTTTCCTTCCAGGAACTCCCAGTATTTTAAAATTTTTGCACTCGCTCAGCCCACGCTGCTCACACGTGTGCTGGTAGCAGGGCTGGGAGGAGGATCCAGTGCAGAGGTTCCCACAAGGTGCCATGACTGGGGGGGCTCCCGACCACCTTCCTGAAATTTGCTGGTCTGTTAAGGAAAACATGAAGGGGATCCAGGTGCATTTTGGAAAAAAAACAACCAACTTCTGGGCCAGGTCCTCAAGCTGGCATAAACTGGAGTAACTCCAGGGAAGCAGCTTGCAGCCAGCTAAGGAGCTGACCAGATACTTGAGGCTCACTGAAGAAAGTCTGTTTTTGCTTCTTGAGACACATCCGAGATGATAAACGTTTAAAAAAAAAATTAAAGTGTTGATACACAAGTTACAGAGTGCCATGCTACTGCAAGTCAACTGAGAAATGCTTCTGGCTGGACATCCTGCACGTTTTGTGATTGTCTTTGAGATGTTACATTGCTACCTGCAACTGTTATTTTCACAACAAAACGAAAAAAGAAAACAGAAATGTTAAAAATCACTATGCAGAGTATTCAGGTATAACCTAATGTAACAGAAAAAAAAAAAAGGTGACCATTGAAATCTCTCCTTAAATGTAAACCATTTTTAAACTGAATTAAAATATGTACATATCAAATACTGGATTTGCCTTCTCATTTTGCAATGACAGGATTTTTTTTTTTGACTGATCCCAAGAGCAGCAAGGCATATTGGATATCAGATAGTGTATATGGGATTGGGGTAAGAGTACATAATCTGAATGGATGTTCAATATAGATTTTATTCTAGCAGTACTTTTGGTACAAATGGTTTGAAGAAGACATAATGGTGGCCAAATATTCTGTGATTTTTTTGGCTATTTCTGATGGACTTCTATTTTCTTATCTGTTTTTTTTTGCTTTTGTGTTTTGTGGGAAATTACATATTTTGCTAGGGTCCCATGCGGTTTCTGCTGGAACTGTTGGCTTCCATTGGCATTAGTGTTACTTCAGCATGTATTAGCCCAGACCTTGGGTTAAGTTAATATGTGTAGAAGAACATGTATATGCTGGTCTTTTACAGTGACCTATGTAAACTGTCCCTCTCCAGCTTAAAATAGGGCAATTTCAGTGGTGCCAAGCATGGAGGTAGAGGGTCTCTGGGTAAGATTCAACGTCGTTGTGGGAGTAAAACTGAGTTTGGGAAGCTCCAGCATTCCTTTGGGAGCCTTGAGGCTTGCCTGGCCTGCATGCCACGTGTGCAGTCACCAGCACCAGGGCAGAGCAGACTCTTCTGTTGTGATGACTGGGATCGAAATGGGGGACTCCTAAAAGGTCCTTGCCTGGGCAGCAAAGGGCAGAGGAAGCCCAGGGTGTCTTTTCAGAAAGGTAGATGATTTTTTTCATCAAGATCCATTACATCAGGGAAGACAATCTGAGGGTTTAGGGGGAAAAAGAAAGAAGAAAAAAGAAAAAAAAAATCTCTTTCCTTCACCTGCTTTTGTGCCAAGTGAAAAAAAAAGAATTCTAATTCTAATTCTAATTCTAATTCTAATTCTAATTATAATAATAATAATAATAATAATAATAATAATAATAATAATAATAATAATAATAATAATAATAATAATAATAAAAGAAAGAGCAGGACCAACAAATAACCATCATGGCTAAAGAGAAAGCTCCCAAAGCTCTCGCCAATTGCCTGCACATGCAGGTGACAAGGGGAGAAACAGGCTGTGGTGTGTGAGGGAGACCAGGCAAAAGTGGATGACAGTGCAGAGCTGGGAGCTGGAAGAGGACAAATAAGCTGCTTTTTAATCATAGAATCCTTATGGTTGGAAGAGACCTCCATGATGAGCGGGTCCAACCGCAAAGCCCATCAGGGTCTTCCCCATCATCTCAGAGGGACCTTCTCTGAACGACGGGCCATTCCGTAGCCCCTGGGTACCAGAACACGAGACATCTGATTTCTGCATTTCTTAATTCGCTGTAAGGTCCAAGCTGGCTTAGGGCAGGGAGAACCCACCCCCGCTCAGCGAGCCAGATCAGTGGCTCCCAACCTCCAGAAAATGGGCTCGCGTTACACGTAAGACCTGCTGCCGCCTTCCCTGCGCGATAACGTGGTGTCCTTGGCTGGTGCCCAGCATCGGCCTCCAGCTTGAGAGCCCGTCACGAGCAGAGGTGGATCAATACAGCCAGTAATTTATTGGTTTTCTGAATTAAGGTAGAACAATAATTTCTTGACAGCTCGAAATGATTTATCTCTTTTCCGAGGGGAGAATAGCAGAAATGGACACAGTAATTTTAGTTGAGCTGTGTGTATTGTGCCTCGGAGTGAACTATCTGGTTTAAAAATGTTGAAACAAATTTACTCAAGTCCTTCAGTTCTTTCCTCCTTTTCCCCCTTAACTTGGGTTATGCACTGAGTTTGATCTGAATTTTCTACCAATATAGACTTTGCAAGCTTGTATTTTTTAAAGATTATTTATGGGGGAATGCATCCATCTTTAATCAAACACCACTGCCCCAAACTATCACAGTATCTTGAGGATGGCAGCACTTTTATTATGAGAAGACTTTTCAGCTTTGCTTCAGAGATGTATCACCATGAGCCAGCAGCAACCTCAGCCAGTTGCTTTATAGGTGGTTTTTTTTTTTTTTTGGACACAGTGATGGAAAATGCAAGAAACGTCTCACCATGGTAAGCTCTGACAGGACCTGTAATAATTAACCACTTTATAAAGCAGCTATTAGTGATTTATAAGCAACTTAGGATTGGGCTTTAGTGATAAATTATCAATATATTGTAATGGGGTGGGGGAGGCTACATCCCTGGGTGCTACTGTAATACTTTACAGTATTTGTGAACACTTTATGATCCATAGACCATGGAAACGTCCGTAGTTTCCCAGGGGCACATGGGAATGAGCATGGTTGGGTAGCTGGACATACGTGGTGCCGCCCGGGGCAGCAGATGCCCGAGCCCTGGGGCGAGCGGCTGCTGGCGGCAGCGCCGGGGACGGGGGCACCCCCGGAGCGTGGCCAGGGGCAAGCGGGACCGGGCAAGTTGGCGACGTCGGCCGAGGCCCGGGGGATGCAACACGGCTACATCCTGCTTTTCTGGTTAGAATCCGGCTTTATTTGACGTGCTGTGGGTGAACCATTCAAAGCCAATAACGTTATTTTATTCATTGCATTTCATTTCATTTCATTTATGTATTTCTTGAGGGGGCGGGTAGCAGGGGAGGAAATATGTGCATGTGTTTCACTGGAGCTTGTCCTCCCGGCATGCAGCGCTGTGCAGTTCTCCCGGCGCCCGCCCCGTAGTTGTAGGTGCTGCTTGACGGACCACAAGGCAGTCACTGGGTGTTTCCAGCAGCACCGTGGGCTCCTTACACTGTGTGTGTGCGTGTAAGGAACTGCATTTTTCTCAGGGCTAATGCAAGCCCTTGCTGCACACTGAGCACCCCGAGCAGCGGGTGCTTCGTGCCCCAACAGGGTTTTGTCCAGCTATGCTCTTCCCCTTGCCCGACCCGCCGCGACGGGGTCTTTTCTTTTCTGAGGTTTCTCATACCCTGCTCTTTCTTACTTTGGATCATTACAGCTGGAAAGCATCATTCTTGCTCTTGAAACACCTGTTTAATAAATGTGTTAGAGCACAAAACAGCCCATTTTTACCTACAACCGCACAGCCACTGACCCCGGCCATCAGTTCCTGTGGCAGAGGGGTTGGCATGGTGCTTGTTTGGGACTCAGTGGCTTTTCCTAACCCTGAGATCAGAGCCACATCCCTGGGTTTCACGAGGGCCAGGATGGCCCAGGGGGGCAGGACACAGCTGGGGGGGGGCACCAGGGCCAAGCATCTGCAGCCACTAGCTTGGAAAAATCGCCAGCAGCAGCAGCGACAGAAATAGGCTACAAGGAGCCTCTTTTTGTTGTTCAGCCAAGCACTGTGTAGCTGATTGAAATTCAGAAAATAAAAATAAGGCACAGAAAACCAAACCGTAAATGAAAACATTTATTTTTTTTTTATTTTGTATGTGCATTTTATTTTCACCAGTAGTTGGTGTTCACAAAAGAGAGGAAAAAAAAAGAACTTTTAAACTGACAAAACTCTCAGTAAACTTGATGAACACTGTTTAAAATACTGAATGGTAAGAAAGTACCAGAAAATTCTCCACTTGTACCTTTTAAAATGTGCTGAATATTAGAAAAATCCAAACAACCCCAAACACTCCCCATTTTTTGTTTTTTTTTTTTCTTTTAATTCAAAGATGTTTAAAAAAGTTCAATTTTGTGGCTAATACTCTGGTTCCACATGCCGGTCACTGTCGCTCGTGGTGCAGCCTTTGTTCCTGAGTTGCCAAGACTACAAAATACAAATGAGTTTTAAAATCCTGTAGCCACCTCAGCTCCCTCTACAAGGCTCTGCTCTGCGGGGCCGGTCCGCGGGTATCGGCAGCAGGACCGACCCGCGGACGAGGCTGCTCCAGCCACGGTCCCGTATGGACCGCGCTGACCCCGGGAGCCGAAACCCTGGAGGTCCCCAGGGATGTCGGCCCCTTCCAAAGAGCCGCCAAGTCGCCTCGAGGGCTTTCTAGGAGAGGGCACTGATGCAAAGTTAAAATGTGCAAATAAGGTTAAGGGGAGAAAGGAGCACGGCGTGCATGTTTAAGGGTATTTTATTCAGCGTTCGAATACTTATTTGGTTTTATCTCCCCTTTTGTGAATTTTTAATTCTTCCTCTCCCTTTGAATGTTTATCTTTTTGGGGGGCAGCACTAAAGCAGCTCCTGACAAGAGGCAAATCTCTTGCCCAGGAGGAAGAGCATTAAGAAACAGCTCATGCCAGTTCTACAAGTTCAGTTATAATTTACAGCAATAAATAACAATTAATTTAGTCACTCTGAAATTCCATAAGAAATAAACTAAGTGCGTTTTCACAAAATTGGGTTTGTGTTTCCTAATGATATTGTAAAATGAGGTCAGTAAGAAAAAAACATGGCTTTTGTATTATACATAATTAAAAATAACTAATCATTAATAAATAAAATTAATGTATCATTGAAATAATTCTGAAGCACTTCTAACAATTTTAAAGGCAAATCTATTTAGGCCTACAGTTAACATGCAAGTTCATCCAACAAATAACACAAAAATGTAGCGTAGTAGTCAACCGTTGTATCAACATTCAGAAAGGTCTAGACAGCAGCACAACTTTTTCTATATGGCAAACATCTTGAAACACATTGCAGCAGTCTGTGTGAAATCTGGTGAATACCCGCTTGGTTATTAGACTTCTGCAGTCCAGCTGGACTTCCAAAGTGTGATACAAAAAAATGGGGACTTTGTGGCGACACGCTTGCCCTTGCGAGAGCATGAAATGAAGAACCCACCAGGTCATTAGAAGAGGACCTTTGAGCAGAGGGGCGTTTGATGGCTCCCTCGGCTCTAGAAGCGAGGAAAGGAAGGAGAACGAAACCATTTGTGACATTCCACAGAAGTGCTGATTTCCAGCACGCAGCTAGAATTCCCTCCAACCTAGTAATGCCGGGTAACAATACTCTCAAAACAACACGTTCAGTGCTCATTACTGCATTAGTATTGTTAGTTCCCATTGCTCTTGAAACTGCTGGAAAAGTAAGAAGTGTTCTCTACTGAATCTGATAGAAAATCAGCCAAACATTCTAGGTTCCTAAAGGTTTTTCTTTTTTTCTTTTTCATTTTCAAAAGGGTTAAAAAAGTAGGAAAGATTGTTTTTTCCCCAGACTCTTGCTAAGTTACACTTATTACTTCGACTAGCACGATGGTTACATGACAAAGTACTGCAAATTATCAAAAAGTACTGTACAGAAAATTACAAATTCATTTCAAAATACATTACACTGCTATGACTGAGATAAAAAGTGCTTTTTTGACAGAAAAGTGTTCTTCTGAAATAGAAGTGCCCTACCCTTTACTTTTGCACGAAAATGCAGGTGTTTCACTCCCGCTGTGCTCTCCTCCACTGTCTTTTCAACCACGTTGGTGGCGGAATCCTTCTGCTCGGGTGGTGGAAAGTGGAGCAGACGACCGCCCATGCACGAGTCCTTCTGTGGGGCAGCACCTAAGGTCACCGCGTGGCCGTGGCATCAGCGGCAGAGCGAGCCCACGGGTGCTGCCCAGCTCCAGGGAGCGCCCCGGCACGGTTTTGTACACTGTGTCATTTCCAGAGAGCTCTTCCTCCTCTGCGGGTCTCGGCTGCCCCTTCCCGCGCTCTCCCGAACCCCCCGGGATTCCCGCAAGGCTTCGCCTGGCCCCGTGGTGGCCTCGTGCTGCGCGTCACGGGGTCAGCGGTGCCTGTGCTGCCGCATGAGGGGCACGATGCAGGACGGCGGCCCCGCCAGCTTCAGGAAGGGGTGTCTCAGCAGGTCCGGCGCCGTGGCTCTCTGCGAGGGCTCCCGCACCAGCATCAAGTCCAAGAAGCCCCGGAGGACTGAAGAGACCTGCAACACGGCATTGCATTAGGAGAAGAGATACTTGCTTCCATCTACGCTGTTCTCTGCAAACTACTTTTCCTGGCGAGGTGAAATGTGCACTGAGCCCTTACACCACAACAAGATGGACTGATCCGAGGGGCCACGTGTCTCCTGTAGGCCACTGCTATAGGTTAAGATCCCTGGGACAGCAGTGGGACCAGCACATGAGGTACATGTGTGGCTTTGCATGTGGCACGTTAGAGGAGCCACAACACCCTCGGGGCTACCCTGAGGGCACCACCAGAACGGGCTGTCACCAAGGGTTCTGGCATGGGCTGCTGACGCACCAGCCGGTACACAGTATGGGTGACTCGGTCTAAACCTCAACCAGGGTGGGAAGCGCAGGGCACAGCAGTCTCTATCCATCTATTCCAGCTATTCCCTTGGTCCTTGGCTGCAGCAAGGCAGCAGGACCCCTGTGCAGCACCCCCCGCTCCACCTGGCACCTACAGGCACAGTTTATCCTTCACAAGATGCCAGTGTCAGGCTGTGAATTCACTACACCCTGATACATTAAGACCCATAGTTCGTATGAGAACTCCAACCTTGTGAATGTCCTTCACCCGGGGCGGCAGGTTATCCCGGATCCTGCGCATTGCCTGGAGCGGCGGCTCGTTGAAATAGGGAGGTTCTCCATCTATCATCTCTATTACCATGATACCAAGAGACCAGATATCCACCTGCAACACAGAATCCCTTCAGAAACACTGTGGGCAATGGGCTAAATGTTTGGGCTCCGGTAAACTCAGAGCCAGCTCCTGCTCTTGTATATCTGGTGTCTGCATCCGTTGTAAGCTGACAGTCTGGTCATTTATTTTGTATCTTTTTCTTTTTCTCTAACTAAGTGATACAATTTTTTGCTTTTAAATTGTAAGTTCATTCAACAAATAAATCAGAAACAACTTACAGACCAGATCCACAGTTGGTTTAAGGGATCCCAAGTCCACTGGAATGACTGCTAGGTTATACTAGTTTGACAAACTGATAACCCTCACTGGATTCACTTCAGGTGCACTGAGGAGTTGTTACCCAGTGTGGGCTCTGTAATGCTGCAGAAATGTACAGCTAGGGGAAGAGTTAAGTACAGTTCAGCTGCTGTTACTTTCTACTTAATACAAAATACTAAATACCACCAAGGCGCCATTTGAGACCCAAAGGCAAAGGCAAACATGCACTTCACCTGAGCCCATCTGCAGCTATCATAGGTAAGCACATGACATAATCCCTTTGGAAAACGATTCCACTCTGTCTAAAAAAAGCATCATCTTTTTTTTTTGTTCTGGCCTGCTGCAAAGCTAGTCCTGAGCCCTATTCCTCTGATGATTGTAATTCCTGTAATTTATCAGCCCAAATATAGCCAAGGCCAGTTCATACCTATTTTGCTCTTATGCTAACTCTACTCTCCAGCTTAAATACATACATATACATATTCTTTATCTTCTGCTAGGCAGCAGGGGACTGCTCCCCTGTGAGCTGTGGGGCAGGCGTGCTGTGATGCAGAGCTGGGTGACACTACAGCGCTCCTGAGCCCATGGTCCCCGCAGACCAGCCCTTTCTCTGCTCATCTGAAGGTCTCCAATAAACCACGTGAACCACCTCTTTTTTCAGACAGTTTGGCACTGCTTAAAATAATTCCCAGAGATACATGGGATTTTTTTTTGGTTGTCATTACTCAGCTAATGAGCTTGCTGACTGCAGTTTGGGATGAATTGCTGCCTCCTCTAACCCATGTCCTTGCAGTGTGTGTCTTGACCAAGCTACGCACCACTGGCCCTGGAGACAGGCAATTCCAGCTTCAGGAGAAGCCTGCTGAAGTTGTTAAATATTTCTACACAAAATTCCATTTGGGAAAAATAAATATTATACATTAGCTTTGAGAATACCTCACTTAAAACACTTCTGCCTAGACTTCAGGCAATCTTTAAAACACAAGAATTTCCAGGACCAGTTCCATGTTTCTTTCAAACATCCCCCACTTCCCATACACACCTTTTTTGGGGGGGAAAAGACAAATCATCTGTGACCCTAAAAGGCTGCCTGATTTGTCACCCAGCAGCGGCAGGGCGCAGGGAGAGCAGACCACCCACCTCTGCACCCACTCAGAGCCCATGCACATTTTCTTTGCACAGACTGACATACAAAAATTCAAGGCAAATAACACAAAAGATTAGGAATTCTGAGCCATGAGTGTGCTGGCTGAGGGACAGATCACAGCAGGCACACTGCTCTTCCCACGCTACCGCATTACTGCAAGCCTGAGCTCAGAAAACCCCGGGAAGAGATTTCTCTCTTGGCTGAGGAACAAAAAACCCACCCCCAACCAAAGAGAAAGGAGTGAGAGGATGCAGAGGTGAGTGCTGTGCACTCGGGGGCAATGCAACCCACATGACTTGGTCATTTGGGACACCTAGGGAGGTTGTTTCTCACTAAAGAGGCCAGCATTAGGCACCCACTTAGACTTACCTCAGTGCCGTAAGGCAGGCGAGATATCACTTCTGGGGCCATCCAGTAGGGTGTTCCAACCAGCGATTTCCTCTTGGGAACTTCCTTGGAAACTTGCGCACAGAATCCAAAGTCTGACAATTTTATCTAAGAAAAAATATGGAAGATAAAAAGTCCTTCTTGGCCATCAAAGCAAACGTCCCTAAGGGTGACTTGCCTTCAAGATAAACATGTCTCCAAGAGACAAGCATGGATGCCAGCTGCAGTGGGGATGGACAAGGACTGAACTGCAAAGTTTGCCTGGGACAGGGCAGGTTAAGGGGGTTAACCTAAGCTTAGCCAGGCCTGAGCTGTCATTGCACGGGGTGGTGTAGAGTAGTAGCGGTTATCTTAATGTGGAATAGCCTCCAGAAAAACCCTCATGATTGCTTTGAGGCCTCTAAATAAACATATAACTCTCCACCACTCCTTTAGCTTTAACAAGCTTATTAATCATTTTACATTCACAGAAGGTGAAAAAAAAAAGATGAACATATAAAGTCCAAATCAGATTGTATATTCAGCCTTTGGGGATATGAAGTAAACCCAAACAGCTCCATGACAAGTTAAGTGGGCAGTTCCATAATTTGCTGTATTGTGTAGCCCAGCACTTTATTATCATCACTGATTTGTTTCCTTTTGGATTAAATACAGACATTACTTTTTTTTTTTTGACTGAGGGTATTATTTTTAACAGAATTACAAAATAATTGTTGGTATTTCTAAAACAAAGCCAATAATAGCCAAGTTCTCCATGCTAAATGTATTTTTCAGTTTACAGGACGAAGAATAGATGAAATAATGCGTATTTTGGAAGCAGAGTCCAATCTTCTTTTGTAGGAGCACAAGAGCTTTTGCATATCTATTGCTCATTCGAGTACATAAAAGAAGACGATTTTCTAAAAAAAGATAATTGCACAACACAGCCATGAAGAAATCTGCAATGCAGATAATAAGTACTGGAGTAATGAGTATAATGAGGCACTGTATGCTGATCCTGAAAGCAGATCAGATGCTATTTCAGCAATATGGACTGAAATGCAACTGAAAAACTTTTCCATACCTGGAATTTTCTTCCCCAGGCAAAATTAACAGGAGTGTCCTGTGCCTGCTGCAGGACGAATGCAGCTTCTCACTGGTGAAGCAGGAATTAAATTAAAAAGGGCAGATCAGGCCTGGAAAGGGGCTGTCCCTGAGGCCAGAGGAACCTGTCTTTGCCTCCAGGTGGGACCAAGATTTTACCTTCTGAATCAGATGATCTAGATTTATTTCCAGAGGAACTGAGTGGTCTTCGGCCAAGTCCAGCTTACTAAGTTTTCCTTTAGTCCAACATGTAATGCCAGTAGAGCAATCCTTAAAACCCTGAATACAGGTCCCACGAGTACATCAGCTTCCACTAATTACCCTACTAATAGGGTAAAATGAGGTCCAAACTAGCAGCCAGGGGCTTAACTTAGGCAGAAATTAGGCTCTTATGTTTAAATGCGACCTGCCTCTCTCTTCCTAATCCTTCAGATGCCCCAAGTTTTTTTAAGCACCTGAAGTGTTAGCAGGGTGTATGCCCAGAAGGATCACAGCCCTGACGCCTCTTTCTCCTTGTGGGCAAACAAAAACAACTTTGGGATGGGGATTTAGTTCAGTCCATGACTAGCTCTGTGGCCACTGCTTTGCTGCCCCGCAGACAGGCACTTGCAGGGCTTGGGAAGTCAGGGTAGGCTTTAGTGTAAGTGTCTAGCAGGCACCTACAGGGTTATGAGGACGATGATTAAATTACTGCATCTCAGAGTGCCAGTGCTGTACTTTGAGTAACTGGGAGCTGTCAGGTGAAACAGTGTGAAAGATCAGGCAATATCAACAGTCTCATAAGCTTAGGTATGATACAAGGTACAACTACAGAAAGTTTTTCTGTAGTAATTTACAACATCTCTTATTTGTACAGACTGAAGTTAGTCTCTTTATCAGCTTAGGAGAACAGAGCAAGTAGAGTATAAAAGGTTACATAACTAAATATAGTAAAAAGAAAATATTTCTGAGAGGCGTTAAGGTGGGTGCAGCACAGCACAAAAGACGGTCTCTCGTTATATAAGCTTTATCTATCCCTGTGGGATAGCTCCCACTGCATCCTGCCTGTGCAGGTCCTTCACAATGGGCTGTGCCTGTGACAGTGACATTAACCACCCATTGCTGGAGATGTTGGGCTTGCCCAGGCAGAGGCACCTGCATGCTGGAGGCGCCAGGTCTGCCTAGGACTAGGATCAAAAGCCTTGGTACCTTCTGCAGTTCATGGTGTGCAGCAGAATAGCTGCTTGACGACTCAGCTTCCCCTGTTCTTCTTTTCATTCCCTTAATTTTTTTAGAGTGTCACTTTTACAGCAGTCACCCGACATGCAGCACTACCTTCACTCACTGCATGCCTTTCAGTATACGTTATCCCTAGCAAGTGTGGGCTACGTGGTGCTACCATTTACAATTTTCAGAAAATCACTGCTCCAAGACGGCATCGCAGCACCTGGGTTTCTTCAGGGGAAAGTGGCAAGGGGTGGCAGGCACAGGAGACACTGGCTGCCCATCTGCTTGCAGAGAGCTCACAACGCTCAGTGGAGCTGTCCCCATGGCAGACTCTTTGCTCAGAATTAACACATTCCCCTCACATCCTGGTGAGCGATCAAAGTGAAAACTGAACATCGGACTCACCCTCCCATCGCTCGTGAGCAGAATGGAGTCACTTTTGATGTCACGGTGAATAACCCCTTGGTTGTGCAGGTAGGACAGGGCTCTCAGGACAGACAGGCAGACAGTAGCTATCTGCTCTTCATTCATTCTAAAACAACAAGCTGAATGTTAGTGGAGAACCAGGGAAAGCGAAGTAGACTGTGAAAACAGCAGAGCTGGAGTTAAGAGACACAATTCCCCCATCTGAGGCAGTCACAACAGTTGTAATAACCAGGACCCCATAAGAAAACCACAAAGCCCAGATTTGTGTTCTCAGCTTCTCCTCACTCTGGGAGGTGGTTGATGTCCCTGAGGCTTCAGGCTCTCTGTATTTGACAGGGTTCAAGTTGCAGGCTGTGACCTGGATGAAAGCCACCCACATCAGGGACCTGGGGCTGCACAGAGCTGCCCTGAGGAAAACGTCCTGGGCTCGTTCCCCAAAGCACCAGCCAGGGTAACACAGTGGCAGCAGTTCTCTCTCTGCGCCAGCTCCTGCTGGAGACACCCGCTTAGGAGATCGGGTTGTGAAACCTGAACAGATTTTGCTTCCTCAAGGATATCCAACACACAAGGCCATGAGAGCCACTGGCTACTTCACAGCCCTCCATAGTTGTTCCACATTGCTCTAAAGAAACCAATGGCATGCAAGGAGCACTGCTATTTCTATACAGAGTTTAACACAGTTTAATGTACTCTGCACATCTCAGGCAAAGATGTGAAATGCAAAGACGTGAAAGGCAGAACCACAGAATACAACGGATGTTTTCTCTGCTAGCCAGACGTCTCCCCTAGCCACAGTAGAATAGTGGCAGTAAATTCAGTAATACTTCAAAAACCCTTAGCTTTGTCTCAGATCTATTTTACTTGCTACCTGCCCCAAAAGCTGTGGGTTGCCCTGCAGCTCTGACACTTCTGACCTTTGAGCCAGAAGTGGTTCAAACTGGAACACAGCAGTTGCCAAGTGGGAAGCTGCAAATCCAGCCAAGACTTTTCCTTCCATCTTCCATGTCCTGGTTTTATGAGCCACAGCAGTCCTACAGCTCACTGAGAAGCTTGCCTGAAGAGACAGGGCTTTTGCCCTTAAAGGATGTTCTTGCCCAAAAAGCAACCACACAGGAACAGCAGTGTGTGGCTCAACAGAGCCTTTTCCTGGGCAGGGTCTCCCCCTTTGGGCTGGTCTGTGCAAATGAAATGGTCTCTTTTTACTGCTACTGAAATACTTAACTTAGTGACACAATTAGAAGAATTTCAGCATGATCTTTGAGGGAAGGTCATAAAGTATAAAAAAGCCCAGAAGATTACGGACTGACTAGTAAAGAAAAAAGATGACAGCTCTTACAAAGTGTTATCCTGGGAACATCTTCTTGCCATTTAACTCCTGTCACAAATATTTAAGATAGGGATTTTAATGTTTTGGGGAGAAGTAGTTAACAAATGACTTGCAATACTATGATTTATTTCAGTATGTCAGATCCCATCTACCACTGAGCATCACTAACTGCAAGAGGAGCCTTCCCTGGAGTCAGTGAAAGTTGTGCCAATGACATCGAGGAACATTGAAATATGGGAAGATGTGCCTGGGACAAGAAACACAGGAGAAGAAACTGGCTTGATTTCCAGCTAAAGGGGTATCTATATTTTTATTAATTCATGTGGTGTTCATGCTTCCCTCTCCCCCCTCGCCTCCCCTGAACTCAAGTCTTCGCAGATGAAAAGCCAACTTTTCATTTGGCCTGATGGTGAGATCAGAGAAAAACAAACCCACTGGCGATTCAGCATGGTGAGTATTTTCCAATATCCAAACCAGCTTCTGCTGCTAGAAGAATGAAAGACTCAATCTACAGCAAAGCTCCAAAGACTTTTGCCAGTTTCCCAGCAGATCGACCTCCTCACGGGACTTCACTGGCTTGGCTGCAGCTCAGACACACTTCAGTTGCCCCCTGCTTAAGCTGAAGTGATGGGGAGGTTGGCTCCTCTGGCCTCCCCAGCTCCTCTCTCCTCTGCCATCCCCACACAGCACGGGGCAGACACAGAAGCAAGGGACAGCCACCCCAGGCCTCAGCTGTGTCATGGGACATCTCCTGCCCACTTGCCACCAGGCGTTGATGGGTTGTCCCCATCCTACCACGTCCCCAACCTACCACGTCCCCCACCTACCGCGTGTGAGTGACAATGTCTGTTAAAGCGCCACCCTCCAGGAACTCCATCACAACCCAGAGCTCATCGCCAACCAGGTAGCTGCTGTACATGTCCACCACGTTCTCGTGATGGTAATCCCTCATGATCACAACCTGCGGGAAATGAGGAGGACTCTAGGTGAGTTACTGCAAGCATTACCTGATGCTTCTCCTGACCTGCTTTTGCACCAAATGTCCTGCCATGGATCACATTCCTACTAATCATTACACCAACACAAAATCAATATATTTATATTTACATAAAAATTACACTCATCACAAATACAATAGGAAAGAGGAAGTTTCTTCAGTTACTAAATTCTAAGTCATAGACAATAATTTTTCCTGAATGGATAGGACTATTCATTTCGCTGCTTTTTTGCCATCTGCTTTCAGTACAACCAAGTTTTTTTTCACTTGACCAGTCATTCAACACATCAAAGTCTTCTCCATCGTCTAGCAATGTAGCACCATGTACTTTGCAAAGAATTTTAACAAAAGGTTGATAATATAGGGGATAAGGTGACTCAGTGGACTCTGACACCCCTGTGACATTGACCACATCATAGGCAGTAAAATGAGAAAGGAATCAGGATTTGGGCATGGGGTTCCCCCAGAGGGTTAAAGGCTAAATTGTCTATGCATGTTATAGCAGTAGAGGCTGGAAAGGACCAAGCTCAGCTCTGCTTCGTTCATGGGTCCTCACAGGATCAGGTATCCTGTACAAGGGGTTGCTCTTCAACATCTCTGTGTGGTCCGAGAACAGAGAGCTACAATTGACACAATTTAAAAAATAACCCCTAAGGCTTGGTCTAAGTCCGAAGAGTCAATGCCCGAGCAGCTCTTCGAAATTCCTCCGCGATTTTGCTGACTCTGGAGAAGCTTGTGCTCACCAGCTGGCACAGACTTGTGTGATCACACAAAATAATTCTGATACCCAAGCTAGAAAGGGAATACTCCAAACTGATTTACTTCTGTGATTGTTATTGCTCATATATAATTAAAACTCCTCTACAAAGACACAGCTTTTCTCACTCCTTACAATAATTTGCCTGGAAATTGAATCATTTATTCACTACAAACTCAATGATTTTTGGTGAGGATAGACTGATAACTAAATGGGGTAGACAGAGTCATGATTTGAAAAATCCCAAGTATTTATTAGTATTAGGATAAGTGCTGGAATAACTAATATCTAAGGTCTGGTATATGGGTGAATCTGCTACATAAGTGCCCAAACAGTTCTGCACATCTATACCTAGTACCAGCCTGGTTCTACAGTTCCTTGAATTTAGGTTGAGTCCTGCAAGGTCTAACCTGGGTGTCTATAGCCCTTAGTTAGAGAAGACCTGTGCACATACATATTTCCCTGAAGTCAGCAAGAATTTCTATACGTGTGAATTTTGTTGGATTTGTTTACTTAAATGAACAGTTGCATTTCTGAAGTACTTATGCTTTTGCTTTCTAACACTTAGTACTACAGAATTAAAAAGAAAAAAAAAAAAAAGAAGGAGGAGAGCTGACAGTTTGGGTCAAAAGCTCTACCAGAGGTACAGTCATAAAAAAACTGTGTCCTCAAGTAAGCCTAGGACACAAACCGGCAAAACTCAGGCAGAACAAATTTACCCAAATGAGTGGTTTCATTTAACCAGAACAGTAAAAAAGAAAAGACACTGGGACAAACGCACTAGTGCTGTAATCTGACAAATATGGTGGGATAACCCGAATGCCTCGATTTAAATAATGACATAGAGAGAATAAGCACATTAGTTGTTCCTAATGGAGCGGAAGCAAGGTAGTCAGGAAGCACAGAATAAAAAACACAACAGCTCTGTAGGCAACAGAGGAATTTCAGCAATGCCACGAAGAAATTCAGGGATGAGATGAATCACTGGAGCTCGTCAGAGAAGCAACTCTCTACCTGGTCCTGAACAGCATGTGGGGCTTGCTTCAAGATGTCACATTCAAGAAACGCTCTGTTAGAGCTACCGCAATGCAATTAGATGCAATGTTACAGCAGAGGCAAAATAAAGCCAAAGTGTCCAGCACACAGTCAGAGCT